GGGCAAGAAGACACTAAAATCTACTTTGTATCTTTACTGACTCCCATAATGCTGCCCTTCAGCCTTCTGGGACTCAATTATCCATCATGTTATGGGAACTCAAAAGTAATCCAATCAAAACATTTTACCTAGGACTACTCAGGTCACTATGAACCCCATGAGACATAAAAGGTATGGGGGAAAGTCTCTTATTTTTCTCATGGGGTATTTCACTACTAAATGGAAAAGATTTAGCAAAGAGACTTCTGTTATGCCCAATCCAAAGAGCAGGCCAATGGCCAGTATAGAGAGCCAAAATGCCAGACCAGCTCCAATCCTACACATGAGCCAGGCTGAGTAGCATGCTAACAATTGAGTTGGTTTTTCTGCTGTAAAAGATGATCTTACTTTTCTTGAATTTTGATCTAGTTTTGATCTTATTCTTCCTTTCTTGATGAAACTGGAAGAAACAAATCTGCTAAAGGTTGTGGGTTTGATTTCTAAAACAAAGCCACTTTATCATAGAAGTCCTAAGAGGTTTCGTAAAGGCCATTTGGGGGAAGGTAGCACACAAAATCCTGTTATGTACAAACTGCTGTTCTCTGTACATCAAAAAGACAAGAGGAGAGCAAGCCCCACAGAGAGTAGTGTTAGCTTATCAATCCTCTGTCCCCACAAGGGGACAGGCATTGCCTGCTTACACACACACATACTTGCTTGCATGATAACAAAGAGATGTTACTACATCCAAAAGTCTCTGGTTATTATTTTAGCTGAAGCAGCACTAAGGCTTCCACTAATCTCCAAAAGCAAGCTGGGCATTGCATTCCTCTTGGCAGCAGCATTCTCCTACCACTTTTGCCCGACTTCTTCCCCCCTAAAGAAAGCCTTCCTGACTGAGAACATTTATTTTTACTTTGAAGGGTGCTATCTACATGCCAGAACCCACATCTACTTGGAGTTCTCATAATGTCTTTGGAATTGTGGTATGTAAAGCTGTGGTCTTCCACCAGTACAAATGTCCTCTGAGTCACAGGTTAGGTCCTAACTCTGCCCAGCCTGTTCTTAGATATAGAGGTAACAGTCTAATGCAGAGGAAACTGATTTGTTTTGTATGGCTTGAGAACACTGAAACATTTAGTAGAAGTAAAACCTCATATCCAGCTTCTACTCCCTTTGACATGCTAAGCATGGGGATGTACAGAGTTGAAAACATTCTTTCAAATATATTATTTAGCTACTATATTCCAGCTACTATGGAATATAAATCCTTGCAGGAAAAATACACAAGCTGAATAATTCGACTTTCAACCAGATTCATAGATCGAAACAGAAGTCAAGTTACACACATTGACAGTTATTATCATAGGCCAGTATCACGATCACATGGGGTTTCATTTGATGTTGATAGAGCAACATCGATGAAATATAAATAATTCCCACTAACTTTATTTTATTTCCATGATTTTAAAATACTGTAATCAAGCTAGTTGTACTCTTAGTCTCCAAATAGCTTGATTTTAAAAGTCATAGAATTAAGATAAAAGATGCCTATTATCCATGCACAAACGAACACATTTAATTCCATTATACTATTAACACTATTTAATTAAATTAATTTAATAATATTTAATTCAAACATACAGGAGAAAATGTCTCACCAGACTAAAGGAAAAATACTTGAGCTGGACAAGGACAATAACTGACAAAACGATATTATTAGGATAATTTTGCAGCCATTTTTTATTCAAAAAAATTGTATTTTTGTAAACTTGACATTTCCAAAACAGTGCAAGTGAATTAGAAAAAAGGTGAACACAAGCTTCTAAATACAGGTGACATCAGTAAGAGTGGACACAGTCTTACAACCACAAGATCACAAAAAGAAACATACAATTTTATAATACATAAGCTGTGACATTCTGAGAAAAAGGAGTGACAATGGTGCAGGTACTCTACTGCATATGCAAACCAAGCTCCAAAAGCAATTACAGTCTTCATGCCAGTTTAATCAATGTACACTAAATGAACAAAATCTACTTTCATTTATATCCAAGAAACTATAGCAAGTGGATGAACCTGGGCAAAGGATAGAAATTAGTTCCATGACTCCCCTAGTCCTTTAGTGAAAGCAATATCGTAAATTCCCCTGCCAGATGAATCCTATGCTTCAAACTTGCGCAAAACTCCAAAATCATAGAATCATAGAATCAGCCAGGTTGGAAGGGACCTCCGAGATCATCAAGACCAACTCTTGATCCACTACCACTGCGGTTATTAGACCATGGCACTAAGTGCCACATCCAGTCTCTTTTTAAAAATCTCCAGGGACAGAGAATCCACTACTTCCCTGGGCAGTCCATTCCAACGTTTGATCACCCTCTCTGTAAAGAAATTCTTTCTAATATCTAACCTAAACCTCCCCTGGCACAACTTGAGACCATGCTCTCTTGTCTTGCTGATGTTCCCACAAACAGAAGAAATTCAAGGAAGTCAAATATTATCAAAGACAGTCTTTGCGTAACTATTGCTTTCAGCAAGCTGGGCTACCTGCACATCACTGACTTGGTATGTGGGGTCACTTCCATTCCTGTATTAAGGCAGACAGGGCTGTTCTTACTGTTATGCTTGGCATTGCAAATGCCTTTGCCACTTAGAAGTGAAAGGATTGCTTAAGTGGTTTACAGGCTTGGGGTTCACATCAGGCATAATTTCTCTCAGATAATCCAAGTAACCTGTGAGATGACTTTAACTCAGAGTCTACTTCAGTATTTTCTACAGTTTGCTGACTTCATTATAACTTCACAAATAAAAAACCCTAGGTTTATTTAGAAAAAAATAGCAGGTATTTTTGTTAGCTACAATGGCCAAGTACCAGAGCATTCTAGTGTCTTAGAGCACACTAGCTGTGTTATTGCTTGGGGAGAATCGATGCAAATTCACCTCCAAGACCCTTGGTTTGCAAATTAAATGGGCACAAAACTGCTGTAAAAGGTGGCAAATGCTCTCATCTCTTGGGAAGTGAAAACCCACTATGCTGTGGACCACCAAAACTGTGAAATGACTGTGATCTTTTTGATGTCATGATGGAAACTAAATGGGGTTGCAAAAGCACAGGCTTTGCATTAAGTGACTTTTTTATTTAATTTCCCCCTCCTTTCTTCTTGATCATATTTTTCTGAGATTTTTTTCTTCCTATCCTAAACCCAACTTCATTGGTACTATTTGTAAGAAGACACATTTCAAGCTTCAGATCTCTCAGATGCCAGAGGATACATTTGAAAATGTTACTGCCCCACTTCTAAGCTTTCTCCTGAATACCTTAGAGCTAGTGCAAAGTCAGCCCACTGGAAAAAAAAAGGCAATGTCAATTTTGCAAACCTTTCAATTAACTTGTCCAAGACAACTAAAGACATTGTCTCAAAATGGATTAACTGGAGAGAACTTGTACAATGACTACCTCCAGCTGCTGCAGAATTGGAACAGCACAAAGAAACTAACAAGCAGCTGACACATGGGAACCTTAGAGCCGAAAAAGCAATTTCCAAAGTAACCATGTCTCCAGATTTTGATACAATTATATTTATAACAGTTTCATAATTAAAATAAAACAAAACAAAAAACCCCACCAACCAAACCAGCAGATCTATAGCATAGTTATTTCCTATACATTCTTGACATATATTACTTTTTCATAAGATTTTAGGATTAAAAAGTGATTGCAACCAACTGATATTAGTGGGACTTTGTTTGGCTGCTTTTTAAGGAGTGGAAAGGTGCATCTACAATATTTTAATATGAAGGATTTTTATGTGTCATTGTCACATCTGACTATCCTAACTGAAAGCATACAAAAGCCACAATAGAACTTGACTAAAAAAAAAAGAAAAAGAAAGAAAAAAATATGGAAAGTATACATATAAAACCAAAACCCTATGTTACAACAGATCTACTGAGGGCCTAACAGTAATGACACTAAGAATTTGTGGATCATTTCAAGAATATGGCACTCATCTGGGCAACAACTAGATTTTCATTAAGGGATGACTTGAGCTGGATCAATTCTCTGACAATTCAGGTCAGAAATCCAAAAAGTCCAGTATGGGCTCAGTCAAATGGGATTTATTTTTATTTGTTTTTTACTTTAAGCAAATAGGAGAGACATTTTTGTCTTGAGACAAAACAAAACAAGAAGTCCAACAAAATATAAATGCTAAATGGGTATTTTACCTTTTTTAACTCTTTTCTTTGTACACTTTTAAAAGATGTCTCAAAGGAATAAATAATTTGTATTTTTAAAATATTGTAATGAAACGTTTTTGGCAGATTTTAAAATAAGTTTCTGTTTAAAAAACGGAAATTAAGCATTTCAACTTTTCAAAGGGAACTTCCTCCTTTTTTTTTCAGATAGAAACTTTTAAATTCAGTTAAATTCACAAATAATTTCACTTGTTCCCTGAGCTACTTTTTCAGCAAATTTACTTTTTAGGAATTTTTGAGGGGGTCAGTTTTAGAGAGGGTGGATACTGCAGATTCTTACAGCTAATAAACAGCCTCTTTTTTTTTTTTTTTCAGCAAGTACTTTAAGCAGTTTCTTTTTCAATTCATAGCTGTGAATCAATCTCGTATCCAATTTCTGTCCAACTTAGATATTTTGTAACAGAAAAACCCAGACAAATTAAGTTAATATACCAGTAAAACTAACTGATGTCAGAAATATCATACTGTAAGAAATTCATCAGCTTCTAATGCTAGAGGCAGGTTCAGATTAGATATTAGGAGGAAATTCTTTACTGTGAAGATGGTGAGGCACTGGAACAGGTTGCCCAAAGAAGTTGTCCCATCTCTGGAAGTGCTCAAGGCCGGGTTGGATAGTGCTTTGAGCAATCTGATCTAGTGAAAGGCTTCTCTGCAGGGGGGTTGGAACTAGATCTTTAATGTCCCTTCCAACCCAAGCCATTTTATCATTCTATCTCTCTGTGATAATACAACAGTGCAGTCAAATGCCACAAGCCTTTTACTTTTGCACTCTAAAGAAAAATCTGTACTCTACTACATGTGATTATAACAGCACTTTGCCTTGGATTCTGGTTTAAATGATCATTTGTTACACAGAATCTGTCAAGTCACCAATGATTGTTTTAAGAAAAATAACTGAATAGACCAATAGCTTTTCTTGTCAGATGTTGAATCAATAAACTTAATTCACTTTAAAACTATTTTTTCCCTAATGCATACAGATAGTTAATAGTTAATAAATATTGATCAATACTGTAGTAATAGAAGACACTTAATGCCAGTGGGGGTAAAAAGCAAACAGGAATATGGATGAGTTTAGTTTTTAAAATTTGAAGCTATAATGGATATAATGTTCTTTTACCATACCCTTAAGGAATAAGACATCCTGCAACCTTTCAACCCTAGTTTCACTTTCTACCAATGAGCTTGACCTTTCTTTCCTTTATACGGATTTTATACCAACATGACACTTACTTCTTATTTACACAAAGTGCAAAACACAAGTAGAATCTAAACCCAACTCTTACAGAATTCCACTATTTCTATTGAGAAATCCAAGAGCTTTTTAAAGAAACACAGTTGAACTAATTACAACTAGGTCTCTTCTAATTCAACAAACGAGTTAAGTAATTACCAGCAACCAAAGTGGAAATATGAGAGCCAGTAACATCTGCACCTTGACTGAACTTCCTTCTTAACGGTTGAAGAAGGATGGCATTCAGTACTTGGAACACCCAGACAGGGAATCTTGAGACTCAAAGATCCAAACATTTTAACCCTTGCATCTACTTATCTCTCTTAAAATTATCATATAAACAAACTCATGACTTATGTATATAACTCACAAGGGAGACATAATGCTTGTAGCTTGTAGCAATTTATCACTTGATTTGACAGCAACAAGATTACAATCTTGAACAGTAGCTTTAAAAATATCCCTCTTAATATTAATATGACTCCATTTAATTTTTTTTTTATTCCAAGGAATTTGCCAATGCCATAATGGTCAGCCCAATTATATCCTTCTGGTATCTCAATTGTACAATCCTAGACTACTATAAAAATCCTAGAGATTGCAAAAGAAAAATTCCCAAAGGAAAACATTCTGTGATACCTTCTCCAGTGAACCAAAGCAATCTGCATCTTGCTACATATCACTGAGGAAGCGTTTTCATCCTCTCCCATTCAGGCCAGTAAAGGACAGACTCAAGATCCAGAATATCACAACTGTGAAATACTTCAGGTTCTTTAGCTTACAAATCAAACAACAAGTTCAACTCAAAGAAAGAGACTATGAAAAGATTTTGGCTTATATCCATTAAATGGTCTATACACAATACTACCAAGCCTTGTGAATTAAGTATATGAGGATTTCAGTCACTTTTCTCTGCAAATCTCTTTTCTCTCGCATTGAAGTTTAAAAGTACAATAGAATTTATATATATACATATGTATTTTCAAAGATTTAGCCAGATATCAGTGCCTGAGTGAACTATACACTATTCAGTAGAAATTATAAAACATTGATACAAATATAAAGACATACTCAATATAAAAAGCTTATATTTATAAAATATATTTTTAGGTAACAGTCTTCCCCTGAGGGTATACCAAATAGTTGGATTCATAAATATTGCTCTGCACTGCAGCTTGGTTACCAAAGTTCAAAGTTCAACTCTTAAGTGAAGTATGAATTGCTCCAGTCACCTGACATGGCTACAGTGGTTGCCTCAGGATATGTTCCCTAGTTTTTTTGAGTGATAAAGACACAGTATCAATGGGTCTCCGAAAAATCTGGAGAAGATTCCTTCTTCCACATATGGAAGATATGAGAGCAGGATCTATAGGCTAGTGAGCACGTGTCACATGACTGGGCTTTAGTTTTCATGGGCAGTTCATTGGTTTTTCTGGATCCAGTTCCAACTATCTTCATTCTCCTTTTTGCTCTTTTCGGCCTCAATAATTTCTTTATACCTCCGGCGGAAGAAGCCCATCTGCAAATCAGAAGAGATGACAGTGGTAAGTTACACTATCATTAAACTGAAACTTAATTTGTCAGTGTGAGGACAGAAAATGGTGTGCAGAAAAAAACAGCACAGGAGTTAGTATTTAATCCTCCAAGTGCCAACCTGAAATCATAGCTCCTTATTTACATCAGTATAAATGAGATCAAACTGGGTCCCAAATCTTCACAAATTCTCTGCTCCTTATAGATGAACTATTCAGAGGTAAGAGATCCTCTTACATAAAGCATACTTAAAAAAAAAATGCTCATTAAGTATTCCTAATAAAACAGACCAGAAGAGGCAGATACAGGTTTATTGGTTTAAAATGGAGACTAATGCAAAATTTGGAGCTGAACCTAAAGTCAGAGTAACACTCAGGTCCTGAGTAAATGCTGACAGAGTTTTATGAATGATGGTCTCAGTGTCCACAACTGCACAAAACAACAGGGATCAGAGGAATACAGTACACGTAACCAAGTCCCAGCATCTTAGTTCCAGCTATCATTACCAATAATTCCTTTTGCACATCTTCTTGCTTCCTAAATCCTTGTACTTTAAGAAATGCAAGTGGGTTTCATTTCAGTTTGGAGAAAAACTTCTCATATCTCTGGGTTTTTTTAAGTCTCTCAGAAAACCAAAAATTATTTTAATAACAGACTTTGGTTACCATTCAAGAATAACTCCTCAAACTTAGCACTGTTGAGATCACTGAATCAATATTTTGTTCACCATAATGAAATATTTAAGCAATTCCTACCACTCTAATCTTGTTTTTCTACTCCTCCTGTGTAAAACATGATGTTTTTGTCTTCCTTTATGAAGTAGTTATTTGCCACCCTTTATTCCCAAACTGGCTATGTGTAGGAAAATTTTGTGCTGTCTTGTCATAACTAATATTCCCTTATTTGGATTTTTTAATTCCAGTTTTCATCAACTTTCACTTTCTTCGAGTGTATTTTAACTCACAGGGGTCTGAAAGGCAGCATGATCAATCTGCCAATGCTGCTTCTCCAGCAGGGTTTTCCTAAAGCTCAGGTCCTTGCCAGTGCCCCCAGCTGCATCCTGAATTCACAGCAGCATGAGAATGCTCACACCATCCTCCCATTCTGCTTCTTGCCTCCTATGCAAAGGACATAGAAGCTGCAGCGTGGTCTAACAAGCCCCTTTGTTTGGTAACTGTGGACCACTGGGACATGCCATTATTCTAGAGATAAGTGTACCCTGCATTTGTGTACATTACATACACACCTACTATCCTGATTCTGGCCAAGACAGGGTTAATTTCTGCAGTAGCCAGGAGGGGCTAAGACCTGGAGGTTATTCTATACAATCTCATGCCATTGTCGAGGGTGGGGGAAGAGAGTCTCTTCTAAGGAGGAGGGGTTCCTTCAAATCAAGTAAGCATGGTGGAGAGAGCAGTGGGATGGCACTGGCTTGAAAGCCGGAGGGAGCAGTTGGGGTAACACTGTTTCGAAGCTAGACGGAGCAGTCAGGGTGGTGTGGCTGCAGTCACCTCAGGCTCAGTGAGCCATTTGTAGGTGAATCACTCTCTCTCTTTCGTGAGCTTTTGTTATTAATCTTGCTGCTGTTACTGTTCGTTTTCTATCTCCTTGCTGTTTCCAGTAAATTTTTCTTATCTCAACCTGTGATCTTTACCTTTTGTGCCTCCAATTCTCCTTTTCAGCCTGCTGCATGGGAGGGGAGGAGGGAAGGGAGGAGTGAGTGACACATGGTTTTAGTGGAAGCACTACATTGGTGAATACCATTCCTAAATCACGACAGTCTTCTTTGGTACCCAACGTATGACTTGAAGGGTTAAGAAAATAACAGATCTGCCCAGAGTGGGTTGAAAACAAATTTGATCTAAGCATTTGTTGTATTAGGTACAGAGCCACTGGTCACCATATTGCTTTGGTCTGTTCATGTGGGTGGGGTACCTAACTCTATATATTCCCCTATGTGCTCCTCGTGGTGCTCTTTTTCAGAACAGAGAGGGGGATCAGGATTGTTCTGTCGTTGTACTGTCTGATATCAGCTTATGACATGATAAAGTCAAGGACAATGAGGATCATTTGGCATGTGTATTCAGTGTTACTCTCCTACCCTTACCTCGGGTGCTACCTTTGGGAGTCCATCAATAATTGTACCCAGTCTGCGGGAGAACAGGGGAGGGTGATTTTCCCCAGCTTTTCACCCCTTTTTCCTCCTTCAGGCCTGTTACAACAGCTTTCGGAAGTTTTGAAATTCATTTGAATGTTAAGGAAAGCATGTTCTTGTTGCCAAGACTGCCAGGATTCCTCAGTGCAGTTCACACCATGTTTAGAGTCAAGAAAGAGAAGGTAATTTCTTTCCTTTAGGAAGGTCATTCAGAGATCTGCCTCAAGGATTGATAGGCATGAGTGGTATGAAATGTGGGAGAAAATGGTCCAGTTTTTTGAGAGACTCTCTGTCCCATACAGGAGCAGCCAATAAAGGCAGCAAAAGGACAGGTTTAATTTTTGCAGTGGTCAGGAGGGGGTGTGGCTAGGGTCTGGAGGCTATACTATACCACCTCAGGTCATTCCCACGGATGGTGGAAGGGAGTCTCTTCCAGGGAGAAGGGATTCCTTCCAGTCCGTCGAGTGGAGGAAGTGGTGGAAATGTGGTGGAGGCAGTGGTAGGGTAACGCTGGTTCTGAGCTAGGGGGAGCAGTTGGGGTAGCGTGGCTGTGGTTGGGTTGTGTTGGGCTTGGTGAGCATTTTATATGTGAATCACTCTCTCTCTTTTGTACAGTTTTGTTATTAATATTGTTGCTGTTACTGTTCATTTTCTTATCTAATTGCTGTTTCCAGTAAATTTTTCTTATCTCAACCTGTGATCTTTACCTTTTGTGCCTCCAATTCTCCATTCCAGCCTGCTGTACAGGAGGGGGAAGAGGGGAGGGAGCATTGCATGGTTTTAGTGGGAGCACTAAACTGGAGAATACCATTCCTAAACCACAATACCTACAGCCACTTTATAAATGCACAATAAGTAGACATATACATAAATGTCCATGACCTTGAGCTTACGAAGGTCCCATGACCTTCCGGAAGCCCCCTTTAATAACTGAAATTAGACCTTAAAACTCATTTGTACATAGAAATTCTTGTGCACAGACTGTGAACACAGTATCGTTCCCATCTGTCAAAAGCAAAGCTTTATCTGTTGCTATGTACATGCAAATGCAGGGATAGTGGTGGTCCTGTCCTGAAAAATCACCTCAAAAAAGTGACACTGTTGAATTTCAGAGGGCCACGACTCCCTCACTTCATAGCATCTTTCAGAGCACTATCTGCAAGGATTCACGAAGAGAAAATTAAAGAGGAGTTCTTCTAGTTCCCCATCCTTCAAACGTACTCTAGACGTCAGATCAAATTTTTTCTTCAGTAGAAAAAAATCCATATTAGTAATTTTTGTGCTTGAATCTACAAGCTATACTAGCGCAAAGGATTTATTTTTAGAAGACATCCTCAAAATAGCACCACCATAAAATCCCAGTGAAAGTTCACCATTAATGCCAACAGAATTCAGCTCAATGAGGCTTGAAGCAAATAGCTGAAGTTTCTCTAGATTTTCAGTCTAAAATGGAAGTGAATTATTATATTGATAATGGAAAAAAAAGTGTAAGAGCCTAATACTTCTCTGTTGTTCTGCCCCAGTAGGATTAATCATAGGTACTTACTTATTCACAAGAATATGCTGCTATTACTTACATATGCTCAGGGAGCAGATGTGTTGAAAAAGTGGATGCCATTTTTTGTATTATCAGTTTTTATAACAGACCTACATGTTTTTCATTAGAAAACTGCCACAGGACTTTGCTTCCTTAGATTAACAAGAGAAGTTTAATTTCTAGTTTTAAAAACAGGTTTTAAACCCTTAAGGTTTCCATCCTTCATGCAAACACATCCTTGATATAATAAAACTTTCTCTTGAAGTCATAATCAAAATTATAGAAAAGTTTTTTAATTTCCTTGAGGGCCAAACAAACAAACCCAAACTCCTTCCCACTGTTATTTTCATAAAAAATGTCTGTTACTGAACATCTGCTTCAGGAATTGTCTTTAAAAGTTGTTTATGAGCATTTTGGTATTTTACTATTTTTTCACTGAATACACAGTGCTTCTGTATAACTTTTCAGCAGGGATAAAAAGTGAGCTGAAAACTATAGTAAATATTAATAAAGCATGAATTCCTACATCTAGAGGTGACCCCATTACAAAGAATTATGTTTACTTGCTGTAAATGATGTGAATACTCTAAAATTATGTAGAGGAGTTAAGTGCAGGCAAAAAGAGAAACTGAACTTTAAGGATTATTTTTTAAAACATTTTTAGAAATAGCGGTCAGGGATTAGATAAATTTCCCATCCTTGAAAGACAAGGATGTGCTTTGTTATGCGATACTGTTCCATAGTGTTTAATGCATATTCCCATTTAATGTGATATAATTCCTATCATCACCAGAGAGGGATTTTTTTGGTAAGGGCCATGAAGAAATCACAACACAGTCATTGTCTCACAAGACTCCACACAACCCGCATATCCGTCTCCTTACAATTAATAATTTCATTAAAAATGATACCAATATTAACCTGTACGGTGAGGGCTGATTAATACCAGTAGCAAGCTGGAGAGAACAAGTGAATTTAGGATAGAGTAAGAGGTAATAAGGAGGCACACACTTGGACCAAAGCAGAAGAATTGATACAACATGGGGCTGAGCACATATCGGCTCTTTTATCACTGGAGTTGAAGGAACACCAGAAGATCTCTTTTCCATGGCTAATGCAAAGCCATTAAGGGAACTGAGAAAACACAGTGAGGATAGCACTGCTGGGATTGAGTCCTGAATTTTGAGCAAGGAAGAGGAAAAGAGATCCTCAGCTTTAACAGGAGCATTGCTGTGATCTCATTTGTAGAATGGGTGTTTACAGTGGGCCAATGGTCTCCAACACGTTTCATGGG